AATGAAGAAAAGGAAGTCTGACTGCTTTTCAAACATGCTTCAACAAACATAATTCTGAAGCTAAACTCATGAAATAGGCCTTGACAAAAATGATGGCAGTCTTAATTTTATATTTTATTATGCAACCTTCGAGGCAATCACTACAATCGAATGATTCCTGTAACCTTCAGTGAGATGTCTGCTCCTCTCAGCAGGTATTTTTGTCCACTTCTCATGAGCAAACGGCTCCAGCTGCCACGTCTCTGAAGGGTACCATTTCCATGCAGCACATTTCAGCTGCTTTCAAAGATTCTCAATAGGATTTAGGTCAGAGCTCATAGAAGGCCACTTCGGAATAGTCCAATGCTTTTTTCTCTTAGCCGTTCTGGGGGTTTTGTAACTCTGTGTTTGGCCCATTATTTTGTTTAAAGACCCATGATCTGCGACTGAGACAAAGCTGTCTTTCTTTCTCTCTATAGAATCCCTTGATCTCTAGATTATTTGTACCCTGCAGATATTCAACACCCTGTTCCAGATGAAGCAAAGCAGCCCCACAGCATAATAGAGCCTCCTCCATGTTTTACAGTAGGGGAAGTCCTATTTTCTTGATATGCTTAATTTCTGCCTGTGAAAATAGAGCCTGTGTGCCTTAGGGGAAAAATCTATTTCTCTCTCATCTGTCCATGGGACATTCTCCCAGAAGCTTTGTGGTTTGTCAACATGTGGTTTGGTAAATTTTAGTCTGGCTTTTATATGATTTGTTTTTAACAATGCTGTCCTCCTTGGTTGTCTCCCATTAAGTCCACTTTGGCTCAAACAATGACGGATGGTGCAATCTGTCACCAACATTAATTGAGCTTTATGTTAACCTTTAGTCTCTGTAGAAGCTTTTCTGGTATCTTTTGTAACCATTCATATCGTGTCTCTTTGATTTCTCCTAAGTTTTGCCCCTGCGGACACATTTAGAGAGGTTGGTTACAGTCCTGTGGATCTTAAATTTCTGAATAATAGCATGTACAACTATAGTCACAGGAACATCAAGCTGCTTGGAAATTGTTTTATAGCCTTCACCTTTCATATTCCTGTCTATAATTTTTCCTTATCTCCTTAGAAAGCTCTTTGTATCCATGTTGAGTGTAGTATACACCATGCCACCAAACAAGCACTACCTGTTGCCATATATATAAGCCCACTGACTGATTACATGATTGTAGACACCTGTGATGCTAATTAGTGGACACACCTTGATTTAACATGTCCCTTTGGTGACATTATTTTTAGTTTTTGCCCTGGGAACCATCATTTTTGCACAAGCCAGTTTCATGAGTTAATTTTACAAAATATTTCTGTTAAATCATCACTGAAATTCAATGTCTGAATTTTACTTGTTCATTTTCATAGATTCTTTATTTATAATTACTTTAGTCAGATTCAAGTTATTTCTGTGACCATTGTGGGGTTTTCTTTCATAAACGAGGAGTAAAAAGCATCACTGCCAAATTAAATCACTGACAAACAGAAATGTGTTGTATTTCTGCTGCACTAGGCATGATTAATTCTGACAATAAAAAAAGGCTAAACTAAAAACCCATTAACATGTATAATCACTTGGGAGTGACCTAAATCCTTGTACAGAGGCATATTTTCAGGAATCCTGCTCATACTCCCAGCTAGAAAGGTGAAGCTCTTTCAAACACAGATGAAAGTAAAATAATAAGGCAAAATGTGTTATTTCTGATCAGTAAGTCAGGTTGAAACAGCTTGGCTTGTTCTTTAATATTCTTTTATATAGCCTGTGATCTTACACAGGGTACATTCCTCTCATCTGTCACTGTTATGCCTGTTTCTCTGCTCCAATATGCATCTTAACACACATTCAGGGTTGAATCACACATACCCACACTCATTATCACCTTAGCAGTCAGTTCTCATATGGCCAACAACTGGGACATTGACAGCCCTGGACCACCATTCATAAACTACTCTGTTTTTCCATCCCTGTTTGATGTCTTCATTCCAGGGACATTCGATCAGCAGACAGTTTCCTCCCACACACACTGCAGCAGACTGAGTATTAACTCCATCATAAAAAACATCACAACTCCGCCCCTGGCTGTTACTATGGAGATGTGTTGTTGCTCTGGTGACACTTTAATGCGGCGCATTTAATGATAAAATAACCCTGTAATTCTGTAGCCTTATTAAAAACATTTAATCAACCCTTAATATTTTTTTAAAAATATCAAAAAGCAGCATAGCAGGTTGCATGGTAAAAATGTACCACATTAGGCACTCACTTCTCCCACTCTCTTGTAAGTATCCAGATTAGAATGATCTGATTTAATGACAAATCAATTTATAGTTGATTAATAGCAATGTTCAAGAATAGAATAGAATACTACTACATGGGGAAATTTGGAACAAAATAATACATAATACATCTTAAAAGTTTAGCTATACATCTATAGCGAAAGGAAAAGTCATGCATATAATGTGTTTAATTTAAAATAACTAAAATTCAGATAAAAATTAAATGAAAAGAAAAAAACAACAATAGTAAGTTAGTAGGAGGATGGGAAATATGTGCAATGGCAGAAAACTGCAAAAAGAGTGATTGTAGCAAAAAACATTTTTTATATTAGGTATGAAATATTGTGTAGATACAACATATGTAAGACACATGGTGTGTCGAGTACAAACAGTGCAAATAATTCTTGATCAGATTAATAACCTGTGCAACTTTTTGCATGGTTGCAAACAGTTATTTGGCCTAATAGCGGCAAAGGAGAAAGGATCTATGGAAGTGCTCCTTAGTGCTTCTAGGTGTTAACATAGGAGACTACAGTCTATCACTGAAGGAACTCTCCAGCTCTGCAACAGCTTCATGCATGGGGTATGTAGGAAACCTTTTCCAACAGTAATGTACTTTTTAAAAATTGTCCTCCTGTCTCCAACTACTTGTACTGTGTCCAGGGGCATCATAGGACAGAACCGCTTTCTCTCAGATAGGCCATTATTTCAACATGCCATGCTTTGAATTTGTTCATGTGATTAAAGAGTGAAATACGGTATTTAGGAGTACCCACAGGACTTCAAAAGACCTCTGCTTTATTACCAGGTCTGTTCTGAGCCTCCTTAAAGAGCATAGATGTTGTGTCCAGTCTAGTTAAAGTGAACTCCAAGATACTAATAAGACAGACAAACGGACGGATGGATGGATGGGTAGATTGAAAAAGGTAATAGTTGTCTACAGATTCTCTTTCCAGGTTAATGGATTACAATGTCAAAATGCATAATTGCAGCCCGCACTTTTCAGATTTTTTATTTGTAAACCGTTCTGAAAGTTATGCCTCATGTTACTTAAATTAGGACAAGCTGTGGATATACACTGAAGTATTTGACTGTAAGATAAAGGAAAGCGAAAGAGTTCAGTGAGTAGAAGTTATTTTAAAAAGCCGCACCTTGTGACTGAAGAAATTAGGTCTGATAAATAATAATATGGTCCAGTGGATAAACCCATGACCTGCAATCACATGATATCCATGGCTAACAAATAAACACATTGACAGAAAAAAAGGCATTCTTCACAAAATTGAGAGAGCTACAAAATTAGATTCAACATGGCAAGTGATGAGGATTGATGCCTGGGTAAAACTCAACATTTTAAATCAGGATTTTCCTAAACCTAATCTTGATTTCTTTCATAAATGTGACTAAATAAAAAAAAAATTAAAAAAAAACGTATTTAAACTCTTTAATTACAACTTAATTACAAACTATTTAATTATTTATTTTATTTGGCATAGATGTAGGTGAAAAATAAATCCTTGTGCAAAAGGTAGATCAACATACTTTAGATTGATAAACACAAACACAATAAATTGATTAAATACAAAAGATACTCTGAGTTTCAAATCATTAAAACCAACAGCTGCTATTCCCAACTGTTTCTCTGACCTGAACTGTGACTGGTAGTATCAGAATACTTAAAACTTGGCTTGAAAAACTCTAAATTCAGTGCGCCCCTATTCTGCTTCAATCTTATCTTAATATATATTAATAGTTAATACTGGTACAATGTTATTCCACATATATATATATATATATATATATATATATATATATATATATATATATATATATATATATATATATATATATATATATGTGCCCCTATAGATCATATCCTGGCCCCTGTACTGCAGACATAATACTCAAAGAAGTTCTAATGGTGATCTGTGCTGGAACAGACATGGTTACTGGTAGGAATGTTTTACTATTTATATAATTAGCATCACCTTATTTAGCTATCACCTTACTTAGCAATATTAAAGTGATAGCTTCAGTGGTATTGAGATAGGATCCCAGTTTCCATCTGCCTGGTGTTTTTTTCAAGACTTAAGAAAATGCATTAATTTTTAACTGAATTTATCAGTTGTTCTTCAAATTCAATTCAGATTTAATAGAAAACGGTTATTTTAATTTTATTAAAGTAAAAAATATGTAAAATTCCTAAGTTCTGAATGTATATTGATGTAATAAGACAAATAATTATAATAAACTAAAAACCTAATTGAATAGAAATTTCACTTAATGTAGCCATCTTAATATATATTGAATCCCTTGCCCTGCTTTTTATATACTTTTCTGTGCCCCCATGAAAACACTGGCCCCCTGGTAGATTTGGTCTAGAACCACCACTGTATGTATATATATTTGTGTATATATATTTATTTAAAATAGATTATTAAAGATATTTCAGAATAACTAGAGTACTGTATGTCATCACGTTTAGAGTTTCAATCCAAAAATAAAAAAAAACAGTAGTGTTTATTATTAGTGAACTTATTGTCTTACATTTAACACAAAATTAAAATGGAAATGGCCTAGAAATCATATTTTAATTTCACACAATTTTTGCAAGTGTCCTCACCAGAGGAGGCCTACGCAAGAACTACTGCTAATCAGAGATCGTGAATTAACAACAAATCCACTTTTCATATCTGGTTACAGATTCTTACCCAAGATACTATGCGCAGAATGGTCTGGGGTTGCTGGAGGAAGGTGACAGGGTCGAAGGCTCCCCCGGCTTTCCCGGCTCCGTATGCCTGCATCCCCTCCATTGTCCTCCTCCCCTCTCTGGACAGCCGTGTCTCTCAGATGATCCCCGCTGATTTTTATTTTTTTTTTCAAAGGCACAAGGTGTGTAGGGCACCAGATAAATACGGAGAGAAAAATAAAAGCACTTCTGCTCCAAATGGATACGAGAAAGAAAAATCCTTGTTGCACAATAATCCACTGTTGTTTTTACTTTGTGTTTATGTATATTCTAAATTGCTCTGAAACGTCTTGCTGGAGGTGTGTTCCAGTGTTTTGATAATGCTGTAGCGCCACAAGACGTGAACGCGCTTCCGCTGTCACGCCTTGCGCGGATCATGTTATTGCTACAGGAGCGCGCTTCTCCACACACAGCAGGCGAAAAGCACTTATAAGGTGGCTAAAATCAATTCCCTTTTTGTTAATTTAAAAATATGCATTTCAATTACTGATTGTTTTCGGAAGTATAAAGTAAAGGTGATATACTACATTAAAAGTACAAAAAATAAGTGTATGCATATCATTATAATTTAGTCTTATTCTTATTTCGGTAGATTTTCCACCCTCTAGTGGACATTTAACACCATAACTCAAAGTGGACTCGTCTTTCAGCTATTTCTTATTTAATTAATGTCTTAAATTAATTGTTATCAGTCGGCTTTCTCTGGTAGGCAAATGGCTGAAAAACACAGCAGAAAAGCTTATGTGCTTAAAATATTTTTTGTTAACGATAGCTGTGCCTTACAAGACCTTCTGAGGGGAGTTATACCAACAACACACATAGCCAATAGGAGCACGATATAGCTGATGACGCAGTAGTGGAATGGACCAATGAGCGCTTACGAGGAATGGTTGCTAAGAAACAAGTTTTGTTGTTTGTTGCCGAGGCAAGGGATCTAAGCACTAATGGACGATTTATTTAAAGAATCTTAGCATCTTCACGTGAGGTTTCGAACCTTTTCATATAATGGTGAAGTTGAGGGCAAGATGTCTGTTTGTCGGTAAGGTTTGTTAAATATTAGCGGCGATTCGATGCCGTTTAGCCTCTTTACATTAGCTAAAGCTAAAGAATCAGGCAAACATCTGCTTCATCTTTATTTAACACTTCCTATAGTGCTATGGATATACCACCCCTTCTCCACGTGTTCTAATAAGTTATTTACTATTGTGTGTTTTTCGCTTTACAAGCTGAAATGCCACCAAAACATTGCAGGGCATGTTTTTTGTACAGCCAGTAAGCTTTTATGCTACAAGCCTATTAATGGTATGCAGGGTTTTTCTTTTTTTACTTTGAATCTGAGCTCGTATCTGTTTTAGAAGACTCATGGGATCTACGTGGTAATTAGGGATTGTTCAAAACAATAACAATGCATGTTAAAATGTACAGATACACAATCAAAAAGCAAAACAAATGGAGATCTGCTGAGGATTTGTGTTAACTTTAAGCACACCAGAAACACTGCAATAATCTAATGATTCTACAACATGTAATTTAATTAACTTGATAATATGTAGTAATATGAGATAAAAAGTGAAATGAGTTAAATATAACTGCAATATATTTTAAATCTATTTTAATTATTTGTTTTTGATCATTAGTGTATCTATGGTGAAGTCATTGATATTCCACTACAAATAAATATATATTGTCCTAATTTAGCAGAGGGATACTGCTTGGTGCCTATAATTTCATACCATATAGTGTTTTATAGAAGTCACATCTAAATAATTTATAGCTATTTTATCTATATTTTTGCTAAACCAAAAAAACTAAATCTGTAAATCTATTTCTATGTACACAGGGGACGCAGCAGTAGGGAAAAGTTCTCTTTGTCATACATTCTACAGTGATGGATCCCTGTTCCAGAAGAACTACAGCTTGGTAAGAGCAGTTGCACAATGTCAACGAATCATGTGTTGTTGTCACCTAATATAGACCAGGGAACTTCATTTACTAATAACATTGGTATAACTATTCTAAAACATCTGGTACATGACAGAATGGTTTATTTTAATTCAATCTGATTAAACAGAACAATGTATTGAATAAAGCTTTTTTTAAAGGAGATAAAACACTGTTTTCTGCATATTTAACTGGAAATACTATTTCTGTTTGTGGAACAGAAATGCAAAAAGTTGACATGAGAAGTTTTCTTCCATCTCACAATCTATAGAAAAATAAAGAGACCTATGTTTTTGATCTAGCCAGTGAATTATTATTTATTTTTTCATGGTTCATTTCCATATAAAAAGCATAGCATTTTTTTGATGACTCTGTAAACTATGGATTTTATTGCTGCCAACTATTTCCTACGCTAAGGAGCTGATCTTCAAAGTTTCAGAATAAGAGCCGCAAAATTACGTGCGCAGTTTTGTTTTTGTGAATAAAGGAATACTGATTTCATGTTCTACAGACAGTTTGAGAGTTGCCGTAAAAGAAAGATGAGGTTCAAAGCCATGGAGATGAAGAATAATGATTATTATTAAAAAAATAATAGCAAGAACATTTCTAAATAATATTTATACTGCATCTGAAATAGGTATAAACAAAAAAACAAAACATAAACAATGAAAATTTAAATGAAATATAACAAAAAATTAAATAACTAAAATTAAATGAAAATATAAGGAAAAACAAGAGGAAGTTGTTATCAACAACTTGACATAATACACTGCAGAATAGGCGCTTAAAAATTCAATAGATAACTGTGCACTACGTAAAAATATGTGCTTGGTGCACAGTTATGTTTAATTAAACTGAGAGATAAAAATAATCCTTGTGGCACGGAGTAGGCGATGTTCATTCCACCATGGCTTTTTTTAATTAAATTATGCCACAATACTTAATTTCAGTAACTTTTTTTTAAATTTTGGTTCAATTCCATAAAGATTGTCTGGGTTCCTGCTGCATTCAGACACTTTTTCTTTAATAATGTTTCTCTACTTTTTTATTTCTGACAATGCAAATATTTTTACATGAGCACATAAAATCTCTATATCCTCTATCATTACCATTTCTTCTTCTTGGCAACAAAGACTGCAGATATTTTTGCATGTCAGTTTTCAACTGACCTTAAGAAGTGCTAAAAAAGCTGCAAAAACTGCAGCAGTTGGGTTTCAGATTTGGAGAATCGCTCACATGGTAAATGTTTACATTTGCATATCCTCAATACATGAATTTGCAGCACCAAGTCCTAACGATATTATCTGCATATTGATGAAGGCAAACGCGGCAAAAAAGTTTGCACATGCTAATTTGGAAATGCAACTCTGCAGGGTGTATACAAACAGGTTTCTACTTTTTTTAAGGCATGCAAACTTTATGAAGATGAGGCCCGAAGTGCCTGAAAGGCCTTGGACCAGTACACCACAAAGTGAGCTTTTTGGAGTCAATCAAATATATTTCTGCTTCAGCTCCAGCTGATCACGACACAAGAATAGATTATTCTTGAAATTATTAAGCTAAGATTAATTATAGAAAATAACTGGAAACGAGCCAAAACTAAACACATAAAACAAGTTTTAATAATAACTACCTAGTAGTATTTATAGGCTGACATGTCACGTCATGTGTTTTTTGTTTAAGTTTTGTGTTCATCATTTTTATCAGTTTATTTTAAATGTCAGAAGATCCAAGCATTGGATTAAGATCATGAGAGTTTATGTATTGGATGTTAGATCTTACAAACTTTGTTGGTAAAAGACTACATTAAACATTATAATTAATATGACTTTTTGAGTATAGGGCTATGGGTATCAATTATTTTAAATTGATAAATCTATTTATACATTTTTTGATTAATCTAAAGAGAGATTAGTTTAGTTTTACTACTATGTCCCAGTGAAAATATTTTTAGAACATATACATTATATATATATATATATATATATATATATATATATATATATATATATATATATATATATATATATATATATATATATATATATATAAAAACCTCAATGCTAGTGTTAAGTCATTTATACTTTTCAAATAAATAAATGTTTTCAGGGACTCATAATACTGAAGAGATCAATAAATTTTTATTTGTTCTGGCTTTGCTACTTCAGCATAGTGGGATTCTGAGGTATCAAGAACATTGATAATAAAGTCACTTTAACAGGTAACGTAGATGGTAAAATATGTCTGAATGTCTTCATGCTGTTATCACATGTTTTTGATGCATCTTAATCTGGAAAGTAGTAAACTGTTATCAGAATTAAATAGAACAAAAATGGGCATAAAAAGAGAGTTTTAGCTGATCAGAAACAGAACAGAAAAGTTTAGATCTGATTACAACATTTTGAAACACAATGAAGTGAAGTGAGTTCACCTGGTTAGTTCCTTCAGTTTATTCCTACATGAGTAAGTAGTAAAGCACGTAGTAAATTTGCTAAATCAGCAACACATGCAGTAGGGAATTCAGATTTATTTGCAGAAATTGTATGTCTTAGTTTTAACAAATCAGTTCTCCATTCTATAGAAATATCTATAGAAAATAAACTATTTCACTGTAAAATCAAGACCGAAGTGGAATGACCTACTGGCTGGCTTATTGTCTCTGTGGTTCTGTAATTTACTTAATATCTATGCTGTTGTCTGTGTAAAAGGCCTGTGTTCTGAAGATCAAATTACTGATGGAAAAAATAGAAAGGGTTTCTGTTATTCAACTAATGTAAAAAAGAGGCCAATGATGAGAAGCATCCCTCCTTGTTTACGTAAATCATCCTTTACATTGTTTAACTTTTGATGTTGAAGGGTAGCCGCAGCCGTCTGCCATTCTGCTCACGTCCTCCTTTGAAAATGTCAGACAGCCTGGTAGCAATATTCCATGCTTATTTGTTGCTAATAGGCCCTCATTGACATTCCAGCGAGAAGCTTCCTATGCATCACACCAGCTCATTAAACCAGTCTCTGGTGGGACTGCAGCATGTTCTGTGTGTGTATTTGTATCAGCGGAATCTTGTTATGAACTGTGACTGTGTATAAATCAGGTAAATGTTGATCTGAAACTGGGTGTGTTTGTATTTCACAGAAGCAGTGACTGTGAAAGGTATGTGTGGGTGTTTGCAGATTTCGGTCTCTTGCATTTGAAATGCTTCGTTATCTGTAAGGTGCAGAGATCAGATCAATTTAGAGTTATATGCTGATGTTGAGAAAACCTAAAAATGTTCTCCTTCAAGGTCAACTGGAATTGCTAATCAACAAATTTATAGAAAATGAACTATGGCAGGGTTCTAGTCTAGAAAAGTCAGGAGGAGGATAGAAATTGATGAAAGTCTTTTTCCATCCATCCATCCATCCATCCATCCATCCATC